GAGCAGATCAGGCTGAGAGATCTAGGCATCTTCTCTTCGGAGCCATCTGGAGCGATCTTTTCACCCCTACCATTTCGGTATTCCTTTGGCGCCTCTTCTTGCGTCGGATACCCGTAGACACTGTTTTACATGCGAGGGGCATCTCCTTCCCCTCCCGGGGTGTGTGTTGTTCTGAGACCTTTACCCACCTTTTTTTAGAGAGTGAGATTGTGAGGAGAGTGTGGAGCACTTTGCCACTTGAACTCATATATCCCTACCAACCACAGACAGTTTCTTTGAGCTCCTGAGTTTTTCTCACAGAGCACACACTTTAGACACATAGGCTTCCTTATTCCTTGTCTGATCCTTTGGTTCACCTGGACAGAAAGGAATAGTGCGAAGCATAGAAATATTACTTTTTTTATTTCTCATATTGTTTTCCAAGTAGAGAGACATCTTTCACTCCTCACATCATTGAGCAGGCTCACTGTCCGAGAATTGACAGGTTGCACGCCACCACACCGCTACATGGTGGCTCCCCTTGTGCCTGTTCGGTCTCCTCGGCCCAGAGCTGTCGTTGGCTTTGACCCAACTCTCCTTGGGTCAAGTTGAACACTGATGGTTCCTTCGATCGTCAGACAGGAGTTGCTAGAGGAGGAGGTTTGATCCGAGATCACAGCGGCGCCCTTATCACCGCCTTCCACACGTCCCTTCAGGCCTCCTCGAGCTACGACGCAGAGGTTCAGGCACTACAGATTGGCCTTCAGATTGTTGCCCACCTCTCTAGTCATATTTGGATCGACCTGGACACTGCGGCTGCCGTCACCATCCTGACCTCGGGCCACCAGGGCCCGTGGCAGATTCAGCACCCGCTTATGCACATTAGAGATCTTTTGCGGTCAGTCCATTACAGAATTACGCACATTTTCCGAGAGGGGAACAGACATGCTGACTACCTTGCCAGCCTTGGCGCCTCCACACCTGACCTACACACGTTCCAGAACGCCACTGCTTCACTCCGCCTCCGCACGCTGGTACAGATGGACCAGCTCGGATATCCATCTTTCCGCTTTTAGCAGATTAGTTTTGGTTCTCATTCGATCATACATTTATTCTGGGCACCTGTTAGCCCGATGACAAACCTTGAATTATGTTCTTTTTTCTGTTTTTGTTTTTGTTTTGACTGTGAGACTATGTTCACTGTAGCTGTTTGATTTTTTGGGCCCTTTTTGGGGTCTTGATCTATGTACAGGTTGGGGATCCTGCTCAATCCCCCGCCGTTCAGGGCGTTGTTTGTTTAAAAAAAAAAAAACCTAGCAGCAAGAAAGAACTAACATAGCAACAAAAGACAACTAACCTAGCTACAAAAGACAACTAACTTAGCAACAAAAGACAACTAACATAGCAACAAAAGACAACTATCCTACTAGCATCAGACAACTAACCTAGCAGCAAGAAAGAACTAACCTAGCAACAAAAGACAACTAACCTAGCAACAAAAGACAACTAACCTTCTCCCACCTTTTTCTAGAGAGTGAGAGCGTGAGGAGAGTGTGGGAGCATTTTGCCACTTGGACACATATATCCCTACCCACCACATACAGTTTCTTTGAGCTTCTGAGTTTTTTCTCACAGAGCACACACTTTAGACATGTGGGCTTCCTCATTCCTTGTCTGATCCTCTGGTTCACCTGG